CTACTCCTCCTCCAGGTATTAGATCTAACACACCTTCAAAATTATTTGGTCCTCCATCAAGAGCCAATTCAAGACTTGGTGGTAAGTTTGACGATGGTGAATGGGTTACATTAACAAGTAAATTCCATTTTGTTGATTTGGCCGGTAGTGAAAGAGTAAGTTTCATCCAAAATAATAAAAACAATAAAAATAATTAAGTAATTGATATCACCTGAATAATAATGCTAATATTAATAATTATGACGGGCTTCTTTTTTTTTTTTTTGAAATAACAGTTAAAAAAAACTGCTGCAAGTGGTGAAAGAGCAAAAGAAGGAATTTCTATAAATGCGGGTTTATCAGCCTTAGGGAATGTGATATCAGCACTAGGTGACCCAAATAAAGCAAAACACACAACCCACATACCATACCGCGACTCGAAACTTACCAGATTATTACAAGATTCTTTAGGCGGTAATGCACAAACTTTGATGATAGCGTGCATTTCACCCGCTGCTTTCAATCTTAACGAAACTGTCAATACCTTAAAGTATGCTAATCGTGCAAGGAACATTAAGAATCTTGCCACGGTAAATCAAGAAGAAACCGGTTGGAATGATGTATCACATTTGCAAAATTTAGTAGTTAAACTCAGAGCCGAAAATGCTTCATTGAAATCAAATTTATCAAATGTTCAACACGGTGGTTATTATTCTGGTACTAATACTCCCGGGAACGTTAGTCCTGCCCCTGCTGGTAGAATCACACCTAATGCTGCCATGTCAGGTAGAGACACTCCGAGTAGGCTCAAACAATCATCAACTGGTATACCACTACCTGGTAGAGCTACTCCTACATTAGGCACCGGCAGAGAAACACCAACAAGATTATTACAAAGACCTTCATCACCATTATCAACTTTTCATTCAAACGGTGCTGGTGCAAATACTATTAATAAACAAAAATATAACCGCACTGATAAAGAATTTGAAATTTTAGAAGAACAATTGTCACAACTTAAAAGATCTTATGCTGAATTATCACAAAAATACGCCAAGACTTCTGCAAAATTAGCAATGCATCAAGATAATAATGATGATATGGATGATGATGATATGGACGTGAATGGTTCATTGAAGACGACAACTCATAAAAAAGTTGGAAAATTCATAAAATTGACTGAAACAGAAGTCCAAGATTATGAAAAATCA